AGTTCAAAATATTAGAAAATCANCCATAAAACTTGTTAANGNTGAATCGTCGGTGGATTTTTTGAACAACTGTATAGAACTTGGTCTTCTTCCTAATATATATATATATATATATATATATATATATATATATATATATAGACAAAAAGCAAAAAAACATATTTAAAACCTATTCATAAATGTTAATTAACATTTAATAAAATTAACAATCTTTAAATGAGTCGACCGAGTACGAATCACACGATTTAGGTGGTACGATAATGATAGGGAGATATATAAGAAAAGATAGGGACACGAGCTACACAATGAGCAGCCAGGTTAACAGCTTTAGTTCAAAGATTTCTTCTTCTTTCTCGTGCCTTATGCTTTTAGGACATTGGCGACCATTGACCTCCACAAAACCAGATCTTTAACACGTTGTAGTAGTTGAAATGCGGTGATATTCAACAAGTGACACAAGGACTTCACGGATGTGATTCCTTGTTGACCTCGATCTCTTTTCCAAGCAATCTTTCCAGTAGTTGTCAGATTTTCCATTCTTTCCTTCCGCATTATGTGACGAAAAGACTTTAACTGCCCCCGACGGATTATCTGTAGTAATTTCCTCTTTTCATAACTGGACTGTTTTAATACATCCTTATTCAAAGTATGAAAGGTCTAACTAATTTTTATAATTCTTCTCAAAAACCACATTTATCTCAGCAGCATTAATCTTTTTTTCCATTTCTTTAGAAATTGACTCTGAGCCGTAAGTTAGCACTTGAAAAATGTAACACCCTAACAGTTTTAATTTTGTTGATATTCTGATTTTACTGTTGGTGAGGATGTTTTTCATTTTAGAATATGCATCTTTAGCCATAGCTATCCTTCTTTTTATATCCATATCACATTTACAACCTGAAGTAATCAGACTTCCGAGATAATTGAAGCTATTGACTTGTTTGACATATTTACCATTAATGATTATGAAGCAGATCGGGGCGGTTTTGCTTTTACTGATAACCATGCATTCTGTTTTGTTGATGTTAATTTGCAAGCCTTTCCTTTCACTTTCAAAAACATTTGGAAACAATTGTTTGCAGTTTTTTCATTGAATCTGCTATAATCTGCTGTATCAATAGTATATCTTACATTGTTAGTTGAAAGACACAGATCAGAAAAAGGAAGACCATAGTAGAGCGAGTTATTGATAAAATAATTAATTCTAGATAAAGTTAATTAAGAAAAGAAGTAAAAGAAGAGAAGAATAAGGAAAGAATCAAGGAAAGGTAACATGGGTAACATGTATTAATAAATATGACCTCTACACTTTTATCAGACAGAAAAAGGCAGGAAATGAATGATTTATAAATATTTTTATTCATAGTCTTCCAACTTCCAATGTATTTTATTTTCTAGAGTTTTTTTAATTTACAAACTTTGGTAATTAATAATTATTTTGTCATGCGTTCTAAATACGAACATATAAAAATATATGATAATATGATATATATATATTATATATAAAATATATTTTATGTATATAAGGCTAATATAATATTTATAACATTAAAATTATGAGTTAGCAGCTAGATGCACTTTTAAAATGCTGTCTTTGGTTTAATATTTAGGTTTTCATTTAATTAATTTTGAAATTTATTCTTTTTTTATTTGTTCGCAAAATTAAAATTTGATTTGGGCAATAAATTTTTTTTGTGATGTTGGCACGGATTTCGGTGATGTTATACATTGCTGACAGTAAGTGCACTTGATCTTCTGTTTCCATTGTTTCCAATCTTTAAAAAATTAAATTGATTTTTAATTAATTATTCTAATTCATTATTTTTTTATTAATTTAATTTTTTTTGCTATTTCATTTGTATTTTTTTCATTTTTCATATTTGTTATGGAAGCTTCCAAAATAAATTTTTTGTTTTTTTTAGAAAGCATTTGCATAACTTTATTTTGCATTTCTTCTGCTTCTCCTTCTGTTCTGAGTAGTCTGCAAGCAATTATATTATAATTATATTATATTAATTAAATATAATTATAATATAATTGTATTATGATATAATATTATTTGATCTGTGTTTGTGTAGTGTAGGGTTCTTAAAATAAAAGCAAAACTATTCCTTTGCTTTTACACAACAGAAACACAAAAAATCATATTTTATTCCGGTTAGTTACACATCTATTCTATTTTAAATTTACTGATGACCCCTTTGGCCTATAGGCCTTCCTTGGTTTTTTTTGGTTTTTAAATTTTAAGTCTTAGCTTTC